GTATACTTTAATATTCTTTTTTTATTTTGTTTTATATAGGGAATTAATTATATAGACTACAATAATCTTTTTACAGGAAACAATTAGTTTTGAACAGTCGATCTTTATGCACTTGACTAAAAAAAAAGTGCTGTTTGTTCTCAAGAAATGAGTATCGACATCAATAATGATTTTCTCTATGGCAATGGAGTAGGTTCTCAACCTGCTATATAGTTCGGTAAAAGTGATTTTTAAAACCGGCTTTGTCTTCAAAGTCATTTTTTGTCACAACTCAGTGTTTCTAAAAATTGTTTATTTTTAAATGTATGATGATTAATATATGTAAATCATTTGTGCTAGTTTCATCTCTAGATATCTATTTCTCGAGTAAAAATTATTGTCATGTCGTGTTTCTCTTAAGTATTTATTAACAACTTTGTTTTTTCAACTACTTCATCATTTGACATTTTATAGAACCATTGAATTTTAGAGAGGATAAGGAGGTATGTCTTGCTTTAAAAAAGCTTAATTTTGTTCCTTTTCATATTTAGCTATGTAATAAAAAAGTATTTTTCAAGGATTTAGAAGTCAGGAATTGTCTTGAACAGGTTTATCGTCTTGGTACCTAGTGACTTCCCTAATCTGTCTTATATCGAAAGCAACTGGTGGCAACAATATTAATTGAAGATCGTGGAGAAAAATGAGATTATTTTTAAAGAAAAGCCAAACTCTACTTAAAATAAACCAAAAATCACATTTATTGAGCCTGCTTGCTACCTACGATGTATGTATAACTCATATACTTATGTATTCATGCATAAGTTATAGGTAAGAAGGTTCAGATGTAGGTTAGAATATTTTTAATTTTAAAGAAATGTATATTTTCATTAGTTAATTACAAAAATCACATGATTTCTTTTTTTTTCTTATTAAAAATTTTGTTTTTTAAAAGTCTCATTAGCAAAATAGCTGTCATTAACTCCATAATATGAAATAAATTTTTTTTTTTAATGCAACTGTCTTACTTTTTGTAGCTGATTATACTGAAATTAATTACATAAGTCCTTTATAATTAATTTTCATTTATTTTTTATCTAATATAGTAAATGTGACTATTGTTGACAGGAAGGTTCTTCTGCCCCCGTTGCTGTAGAAATTACTCTAGCAAGGGTAACTTGATGAAACATCAGAGGTACGAGTGTGGCGTTGAACGGAGGTTCACCTGTAACTCATGCCCCTACAAGGCCAAGCAGAAGGTACACCTCAGGGCTCACGAAGCCACCAAACATCCTCCCCGAACAAGCGAGTTTTGATTTAGGGTAAATCCTCGAGAAGTAGGAGTTTTGTATTTATATTTTCAATAGTATTTGTACAGTGAGAAATAAATCATTTATTTATTTTTTCAAAAACTACATGTTTACCATCATTTATCCATAGCTTATTACTCCATAGATTTGTTCTATTTTTTATCTCATCTTTTATAGCACCTATTTACATGATAAGCCAGAAGGCTGTATATGATTCGATAAGATGAAAATTAACCAATCTGATCAAGGGATGCAGGATGCATAACTATTCTTTTAGGTGTGACGGACAACCAATACAGCTACTTTTGACATCATTCAAACAATAGAATTCTCTATATATTTTTATCAAATGCTACGATTTTACCATTGTTTGTCCAGTAAATCTTGTGATATTCATTTACTTTATTTTGATTTGTCCAAGTGCATGCTAGTGCTTCACATACTTTATGATGTAAGCTGTTACGTTGTTGCTGCATCAAATTTAAACAACGGGTTGTGGCCAATAAGCTTGTAAGCAAGTATTTATCGTTTTTAACCATTGTTTATCTTCACCGTACACTATGGACACCGTCTCCTCATTTCCACATCGGAGCTTCATACTTATAGCAGAAGGACTTGGGAGTTATTACGCTTCGATGAGCAGTTAGTCTATTCTAAACCTAGTCTTATTTTCTTTATCCACCATTGCATCCTACAGACGGATTTCTGCATTGACCACAGTAGAATGATATCTCCAGTGATGAGTTAGAACTTTCTGCAGGGAAATATATGAGGCTAAACTAGAATAGTTAACGAAAGTCCTGCCTCATAACTAAGGGTTCGCGTAAGTCACTTTTAAATAAATATTGTTTATTGGCAATCATCGCATTATCTATCTTTATTTATTTTTCTGTTGACATTACAGACCTTGTAGATCTTTTGCCGTCTTAATCAATCTTCTCCATTTCTGTCTATGGTGGACTATTTCTTTCCAGTTATCTGCATGCAGCTCTATTGCATTTTTGGTGATTCAATCTCTCCATTTGCTTTTTGGCCTTCTTCGTGGGCTTTTGCCTTATTGAGGCATTCATTGTTATGTAGAGGCTTCCACATGGATTGCTCCGAGACCTCAGGTATTTAAAAACATCCACTCTTGTGTTCGAGGGTGAATGCGGATATCACCGGCGTCCTCAGCACAGATGGCATAAATAATCCAAAAACGAAATGTCTAACAACCAGAAAAAGATCGTAAAATATCAATCAGAATTATTACTGAATAACATAAGTAGCAGATACTTTATTATATAAATGAGATAAGCATTAAGTATCAACAACTTTTGTCACATTTCGGAATCCTTATCACAGCTATTGACCTTATTTCTATGTATTGATTATTACTTTTTCTTCTTTATTAAATAGTCAACTGAAATATCTTTAGTTTTAGTTTATAAATACATTACATAACCTTTTATTTCACTCCCAGTTAAAATTTAAAAATAATGGTTAAAAGTTATTTTTTCTTGCTTTATATGTTGGTAGTTTGCTTTATTAGTTGGTAGAATGAAGTAGATGGTCCGCTTGCCGGTCAAAAATAAGAATAAAAAGAGGTAATGTATGTATACACATATATATTATATGTTATATTATGTATGGATATTATATATTGTATCCAAAAACCTGATGGATAGATAGGATAAACAAAGATATGGCTGAGCTTCATGCCGGATCAACTGGAAAGCAGTAGCCTAAGATAGGCAGAGGTGGAGAAGGCTGGTTCAGGCGGCCAAAGATCTACAAGGTCTGTAGAGCCAACCGAAAAAAAATATATATATTATTACTTGTACTAGCCAGTATTTATTCTTTTAATTTATTAACTATTGTTATTAAAAATTTAGATAAGGCTTTCGCTTATTTGGGAGATATGGTTCACTGGTGAATAGCTCCAATTTATCATTTTCAATTTTTCGCTGCCAAGAACACATAATTAAAATTGATTATTTTAAATAATAAAACTCCCCTTACCATATTAAATGAATAGTCATCAGATTAATAAATTTATTTTAATATAAGCTAATTAATAGGAGATAAAATTTATAACAAACATATAATTACTTCTATAAATATAAAGAATACACAATACTATGACTGACTTATTATAAAAAATGAAAATCTTATAAACAAACATTTACAATGAATAAGCAAACAATGAAATTATTTCCCTAATTCTATTTAATATTTTTAACAAAAATCAAGTGAATATTTATTATTATTATTTTTATCTTTCATACATATAGTGCTTTATTTTTCTTTCTTTTATGTTTGTTGTTAATTAGGTCAAATTAAGTGAGCTCAAAATAAATATTTCAATTTCTTCAGAAAAAATATACATAACAGTACTTGAACTTTGTTGAGTAGACGCATCAGCCATGAAGTTTGGAATTTAGTCATACTGAACTTAACTTTTTGAAAATAAATATGGAATACTTTTAATACTGTTCACACCGATCTAACCTCAACTCAATCCACTCGTGTGTGTGTGTGTGTGTGTGTGTTTGCGTGTGTGTGTGTGTATGCGCGCGCGCGCGCGTGTGTATATTATATATATATATATATATATATATATATTATATAAAATGAAATAACTTGAGCCAAATATTCTCTCATAATATAATTCTGTGGACAGGAACTGTTTTTGGAAAAAAAAGATGCGCGATAAAGACGTGCAATATAAATAGTATCAACTAAATGTATTAGTAATGCTATATTTATATATGTAATATATACCACATTTTCAGGTACAACTGTAGTTCTCACACAGAGTCTTAGCGAGTTTCTGAATGTCCTCTTGATTACTTCCAAAGACAGCTATATCATTTGCGTATCCAAGGATTTTATAATTCATTCCGACGTGGACCCCTCCATTTTCGCGTGATTTTGCTTTTATCCCCTTCTTCAGGGCTATGTTGAATAATATCGGTGATAGTCCATCTCCCTGCCTCAAACCCGTTCGAACTTTGAAGGCTTCAGATACTCCTCCTTGTATTAGGACTCTACATTAAGGGTAATTTTACACGCCTTTTTCAATCTAACTGACTTACCGGGAACTCCCAGTTCAGTCATAATTCCAAAGATAGCTCCAGTCTACAGAATTATAGGCTGCTTTGAAATCGAAAAATTGGGCGTGGACGTCCTAGACTACTTCCCATCGTTTTTCGAGTACTTGTTTTAGGACGAAGATCTGGTCTATGTCTAGCATGCTCCGTTCTGAATCCAGTTTGATGGTCGCCTATTATGTACTCTTGTATTGAGCTCTGATGTCTCTTGTCAATAACTTAGCTGACATACATTTCAATTTTTACAGACAGTTACAATTGTAAAGCAAGTAGTAGACTTCATGTCAAAAGTCTCCAACAAAATTTAGCTGATAAACACACTGAAAAGACGATAACGCATAACGATATTTGTTTTCTACCACGAAGCTACAAAACCAAGGGCTGCAGAAAACAATTCTAACAAGGTTTTGCCGAGTGCAATATCATCTCAGCTGCCTTCTGAATAAGTAAGCTGTGATTTTGAGGTAGTGCGGAGGTACCACCCACTGAACAAAAAATCGATCACCATTATCACTGTGTAGCTGTATTGGTAGATGTAAAAACACGCTATTAGGACAAAAGTCGGCTGATCAACATACTGAAAACCGTATTACAGGCACAACAACGCATAGCGATATTTACGGAAAACTTATAAGGCAAGTGAATATATTTGTATTAAGTATTTTTTATTAAAATCTTACATCAATAAAAATCTGCTGAATCTTGGGTTTGAGTGGAAACAAAATTATATGTACTTATGACTAACTTTATTGACCGCGTGGTGTTCATTAGTTGTAGAGGTTATAACATTTTTTTTATTATTATTACATATTATCTCATAGATCTATATTTATAGAAAAAAAATGACGAAACTAATTTAGTAAAAAAATTTTAGTTTGAAAAACGCCATAGCGTTCATGAGAGATCAATAAAATACTTTGACCAAAAGAAATTATTTTCGCCTTTCTCAATTGAAGTAATATTGTGATTGTGAACAATCGTATCATTCATGAGGTTATCAATAGCTTTGTACTTCGGTACATATCTCTTTCTATATATTTGAAACAAACTAGAAGCCTATTGGGCGAAACTTATACTCATACTGTAAATCGAGAGTCTTAAAAAATATATGTAGTTTTTCTGTGTCAGACACACATTTCCAGAAAGATACGAGTGTTTTAAATGTCAGAGGTCGTCAACATTTTTCTACTTGGGGGCACTTTGCCATGGTTATCGCTGTTGCAGGTTACTTGCGCTGTTATCTATTGAGATGGTACTCGGACAGCACTGTGGACAGCGCGCCCACTCTACCCCTACTCTCATGGAAGCTGGAAAAAAAAAAGAAAAGGGAAATATAGAGAAAATGTATCCTCATAGACGAATTTTCTAATGTAATATACAAAAAAGTTATTGTCATGACCAGCACTAGTGATTTATGCCAGGGGACTCGCCTCCCTCTGGATGGTGGGGAAATAATTCCTAAAAATGGTTTTAAAAAACGACTATTTAAAGAAAGGAGAAATATAGAGAAAAAATGATCCTCTAAGACGAGTGTTCTAATGTGATCATCAGCATCATCCCGAGCTTAACAATCCATTACTGGATCTTGGCTGCCTCAAGTGTTTTCCTCCATCTTTCCATGTGCTCAGCAGAATCCACCTGTTCCTGATCCAAAGAATTCTGGCATCAGCACTTACTCCATCTGGCTAGTTATTGGCTGCGTCTGTTTCTCCATTCATCATTCTCCTTAACCGGGACCAATATCTTCCGAAGTCTCTTCCTTTCGAAAACTAATATTTTAATCAGCTGTTTAATTCATTCTCATAGGCGAATTTTCTGATGTAATAAATAAAAAAGTTATTATTGTAATCAGCACTAGCGAATCCTGAGACCATATTACTTAATCCATTTATGAAGTTAAGGTACTAGTTCGACGCACAATTTGACGTTCTTTAAGTTCTTAAAAAAAACGTTTGTTGTTTTGATGCACTGTTTGGTGGTAATACATGGGAAAAAAGATCAGATAAATCTAGATTTTTTAGCTGTAAAAAGTTTTCTCATGGTGACCCGTGTTAGCAATTTTTTTTACATGTCTAAACCCATATATAGGGTCTCCCGTAAGAAGAGAGAAATGTTTAAAGAAGTAATACCAGAACTCAAAAAATACAAAAAAGTTTATATAAATAATGGCTCGATTTTCAGCAGGAAAGTAGGAAATTAAAGTTCTGTGATTTTTTAAGTAAGTCACGTTTTTTGTCGAATAGGAAATGATAACTAAAAAACTATCTGATTTAAGTAATTAACGATTGCTTCACTGTAAACTAAACTAGAGAAAATTTACTTTAAATAAAAGTAGAGTTTGCTTTTGTTAAAACCATTTAAAGAGGACTTATGAGCGGCGAAACTATATTCATCATATATACATATATATATATATATATATATATATATATATATATATATATATATATATGTGTGTGTGTGTTAAGTAGTGTGCTTGAGAAAAGCTTTTAAATAAATATAATAATACTATATAAAACTTTGAAAGGTACATGAAAATCAGTATTAAGCCAACCTGTTGCCTTTATTCTCCTTTTTTTTAATTTATTCTTCTCATTATTTTAATTTATATATATATATGTACGTGTGTGTGTGTTTGTTTATAATACATATTACAAATACAATTTTCATTATTTTATTTGTTTAATTTAATTTAATTTATTTGTAGAACAAAAGTATTAATGGTTAATATTTTAAATTCATTTTGAAATTAATTTTCCTTGCCACCATGTCGAACGAAAAATTTAATATCTTATAACATCTGCAATCACACATTTATCCCTGTAATCTGTTAGTAAGTTCTTTTTATCTGCTACTTTAGGAGGGGGTAAGCTGATATGTAACAGATGTGGAAGGTCCTACAGGAATAAATCCAATCTTTACCAGCACCAGAAGTTTGAATGTGGCAAAGATCCTCAGTTTAGCTGCCCGTATTGTTCTCATCGGACTAAACTCAAAGGGAATTTAAAAAAACATATGGTCATTATGCATATGGAAACTTTATCATAACTAGCCATTCCTTTTGTTTTCTTTTTTACAGATTTGTAATTGTAAAATTACATGGAAAATCCTTCCGAAATTGCATTAGTGACATAATCTGTTATATATTGTATTATTTTATGGGCAATAAAGATCATGTTGTAAATAGTTGACTTTCTACCTTCTAAAACTATCTTATAATCTGTTAATTTTTTAAATATATATATATTTATACCACATCTGTGACACTTAATTAGAAAGGCAAATATTTCAATGGCTGCATAAAAAGAACGCCTCAAGGGATTAAATTATTTGCTTCAAGCTATTACTGAATATTGAGATCAGCTTATGGAATGTATATAATACAATTAAAATTTTAAAAAATAACTTACAAGAAGGCCTCATTTACTTATTTTAACTACTTTTTCTTCCTTTTACTTCGAAATTCGTAAATGTATTCCTAAAATTTTATTTGGATTTAGATTTATAATCTTCCTTAAAATAAGTTTATTTTTATTTTCCGTCCAATATTTCGCCGAACTATTTTTTTAATTTAAAAATTACAACAATTATTTAAAAAGAACAACGTGCAACCTAAGATCTAACGTTTTTAAAATGTTACTACTCCATTAGAGGAGTATTTTTTTCACTAACCTATTCATTTCGAATCATTCGAACCATCTTATCTACATATTTATTCATTTATTTATCCATATAGACAACATACATTTGAATTACCACGATGCAAATTTAAAATATATTTATAAATTCTAATCTGATACATATATCTGAAGATATATCTCATTATAACTAACTAAAACAAATTCCGGCTTGAATAGTAAAAAGTAAATTTCTAGTATTTTAAAAGTGATTTCAACTTGTATCAACCAATTTAATTTAATAGAAAGCCTGTGCTTTGTGTTGAATTTTATTGATTTGAATAAGTACCTAAATTACAGATGTTATCAAAATGTATTTATTTAACTAACAGGACTATTTGTTTTTATTTTTATCAGAAAAATACACTTGTACCTGTGGAAAATTGTACAAATATAAAAGAAGCTTGCATAGGCACAAGAAGTTTGAATGTGGAAAGGAGCCCCAGTTCCATTGTCCACAGTGTAACCACAGAACCAAACTAAAAGAAAACTTAATGAAACATATAGCTTATAAACATTTGTATCAAATATAGCATTTTATGTTTTAAAAAAACATGTTTTATTTAACAGCCACACATTTGTCCTTGTAAACAAAATATATATTCACTATGCTTTCTCAAAGACATTCTATACCACCATTATTTTAAATCAAGATGTTAAATATTTTCTTGTTTTTATTAATCAAATATTTATTTTTCATCATGTTTCCTCCAGCTCAGGGATATGAGCTTTATTAAGCCTAGTACACACTAGTCGACATTGTTGCGCGATTTGTCTCGTCTGGAATCCACACTACGATGTATACTTCTCAGTCTCATCATCATCACATAATGAGTTCCTTCCTAATACTAATTACAACCGAAAATGTAATTGGTGGATCCGCAAAGTTGTTGCAGAATGACCTAGGTTCGGCGAAGCATTAATAAATAAATGAAGATTGCGAGAATCCCAGTAATCTGCAATAACTTTTAAAAATTTCTCGTTAGACAACAAGTTTTCAAAAGAACTGTAAAATTTTGAAAATTAACTATTAATATCCGAACCTGCCACTCGTTAGCTGGAGGCAGACTGGGACGTATCTCTCCTATAGATGCTGAGTGACGTGCACGCTGTCAAAATGTTGCCCAACATGTCGTAACGTTGCATGTCTCCAATTGAGGGGTTTGGTGCAAGAAGGAGACAGCTCCACTTTGTGCCTCTATTGTGTTCACATCCAATAATTCAAAGATCCATTACACGTACGTGAGCTCATGCATTTGTTTGTATTCTGTTCAGTAGCATTTGATACCCCATAACCCAACACAAGACTGAATATTTTTTGGTTTCGATAAAAACTGAATTTTTAAAACGTTTTTTTTTTTAATTTGCTACATACTATAAAAAGTGAACAAAACCCTTCAATTCTATGGGAGACTTTTGACTTGCCATTTTTGAGCTCGCAACAGGCCAATAGACGGGGATTAGTCTATAGAAGTGTCTACGTAGACAAACTAAGACATGTCTCACAGACCAAAATCGCACAACATGTCTAGTGTGTCTAGCAACAACACTACTGTGGATTAGGCTTCAAATTGATATAATTTTTAATTATCGCCCCTTAAAATTAGGAATTGTGTTGTGTACTACAAAATCATCGATGGCGGATGTAATGACCTATTCATAACTTATTAGACTACGAGCTACCAACCATTTCATTTAACTGAAAGACTTACAGCTAATAACCATTTTAAATTCTAAATAAACCTCATCTGAGCGAACAAGTTTGGTTAATCGGCTGAAAGCTGTTGCTTTCTATTGGAAATTCAATCTTAAGTGGTGAAATTTGACGTTGCATTTATCGGAAGAACTGATAGCTGAAATTTTGATATAATGTAAAGAATGTGTCCCTCAAAGAGAATTCGCCTTAACTGACGATGTACTCGGATGCATTTTGAAAACTGACGGCGTCAAAGTTGAAAATTTAGTTGAATGAGGGATTCCCTTCGGTTGTTTATATTTTTTGGAATTCTGAACCTTGGAGTTCCGAAACGAACTTTTCCATTTCATTCCGTGATATATACAAAAAACTGTGCAAGTTCTGTTTTTTAGGTTGTTTTTTTTTGCCCGTGATTTTTCGAAATTTTTGTTCAAGTTGAAGGAGATAAATCTTATACATAGATTTTGATGTAGTATCAATGGGTGAGGAGTTAGAGCAAATTGACTTTTTGCTCATTTCATAAGAAATAGCTATTTTCGTAGGGGTTTTCGCTAAAAAAAAATCTATGCATCCCTCAAAGAAATTCATTATAATCACTAGCAAAGAGAAGGAAATTTCCTATATGCCTCCTGTTAATACGTTTCTATGTGAGACCTTTCGAGTACGCTGTGGAACAGCATTTTCTGATATCTATCCAATTAAAGCGGGTGTTGTCCTGGTCAGCGTCTCGGGTCCCTTTACCGCTTTACATCCTCTTTACCATTGACATCCCTGCTCATTCCTAGCAACATTTGCTGATGACACCGCAATTCTATCATCCAATTCAAATCCCGAAATAGCATCCTTAGACGGCGTTCACACCGAAGATCGCAGCCTGGATGCAAGACGCACTTGCACCTTGGGAATCAGCCGGTTGGAGATCTTCAGCGTGCATCTTTGTTATGCTGGTCTTGCACACTCGCCCCTTCCATCTTGGCACCCGCCCGAAGTTAAATATTTCTGAGGAGGAGCAATCATCGGGTCCGGTCGGCTTACACCGCCAACGCTCGGTCTACTCTCTCCCTTCTCAATTTTCTATAAGCTCTTGTGATTGACGTCTCTATCAATTGCTTTTTTATTTCCAAATATTGTTTTATTTTTTATGTCTATTGCTTAATTGTTTTTAACTATAGGTTTTTTTTATCAATTGCTCTGATTTTCTGATCAGTTCTTCTGATTCAACTATTGTTCTATATGTTTTTACCTATTTGTCTTGTTATTACCATGGAAGATTAAAAAGAGTATGCCAAAATTGCAATAAATTATTAGTAATCGTTTTCTTATTCTTTTGAAATGACGATTGAATGTCATGGAGTGGTGTGACCTAGGATTTCTTTTCTGTCCTGATGATGCCTGAATTGGTGAAAAGTTGACGGCTTATTTTATTCTTTACCTGCATTTCAAAGACACAAAGCTGTGAAGTTGGAGTTTTCCAATTTGTAACATTTATTCTTCCCCTCCCCCCTTTCAATTTCAAGTAATGTTTTCAATTGTTAGCTAAATTTACCTCAGATATATAAGTAGTATTTCTTTCTCAGATACAAACAAATAACAATTTGTATCATGACGACTCAGTGACGTTATATGAGATCCAACAACGTGTTATAAGTCGAAATCCCCATTTTATAGTACGCCTGAAACTTAACTGGTTGGTTTAGTAATAGCTGAGACACCACAGCAGGGCTATGCTTTCCAACATTATTTCTGTATTGATAATGATAATCCCATAAATGATTTCTTCTTTGTCGTCTTCTTCTTCTTCTTACTGCACAAGCCAGAATTATAATTTCGTCGTCTGAGGAATCGGATGATTGATTATTCATCTTTCAAACTCACGTACTAAACTAACAGAGATAATAGATGTAAACAGAAGATGCAAGAGGAACGTGCACTCCTAGTGTGAAAGTTCTTTCATCAAGATACAAGACGCATATCAAGAAGATCCAGGACGCATGCATCTTGCCTTGCGTCTTGCATCTTCGGTGTGAAAGAGGCCTTAAATTTTCAAAGACACATCTCCCTGATTGAACAATAGTGTAATAGACTCAATCTCCGACCGACAATATGGCAAGCTATATAAACTACTGAACAGAAAATCTGAAGTTTCAATTGACAACAAATTGTTGATCTACAAGACAATACTGAAACCTGTAATCAACAAAACCCTACACCACGACCTTCATATCCCATTTGTCCTATACCTTATACCTGACATTTTTTCCAAATTCCATCAAAACCTTACATATTTTCCAAATCCACTTGCACAATCCCTATCTAGATCTACCCATTCCTACAATCCTCCTCGAAGGTTGTAACGGCAGTGGCCCTGTGGCCAGAGACCTGTTATAAGAATATATTGGAGTTCTGACAATGGCCAGATTCATGTATGTCTGAGTGAGAGGCGCTAGAATTTCTTAGAGTTCTGCCTTTCCTTACACGAGTGGGAGGAAAAGCTTGACTCGGAGATCTCGAGTGAATGAATTTTGTAAATATTTTATAAAAGCATGTGTGTATTCAACTAGTTATTCTGATTAGTTTCTTTTAGTTTATATACATTTACTTCTAGTATTATTATTTTGCATAGTGTGAAGAAGCTCCTCTCTTATCACTATTACTATTGTCCTTAGATGGGACAGATTGTGAAATATTTCAATAAAGAATGTCGACTATGTGAGAAGGTATGCGGTTGTTAAAGAGCGCGGATTTTTTAAATATTTAGGATGCACAGTACTGAAATTAAAAAAAGGATCGAAAGATTCTTGAATAGATAAAAGATTTTCTCAGATTATTTAAATCAAGGAATCAAGGCAAATATGACTATCCGACTTTCCTATTCTTGATAGATCACATCAAGGAGTTAAACACAACATACAACTATACATAAACTATTTATAATTTTTCCCACATACGTTCATAATTGTACTATTGAATATTCCTTTTAGGAGCCTATTTTTAATACCAACTGTTTGGGAGAAAAGATGAATACATAAGGTGGTGTATGAGAAATAGTATTGAGAGGCAATTTATCATATTTTGGTTGATTAACCCATTTTTATGCTTTCATTCTGTTATAATTAATTTTGTACATTTAATTTCCATCTCATATTATTATGTTACGAATTTAGAGAATATCAAACGAAAAAAAAAATATTTTTTCATCATTTATCATTTTCAAAATGTATTGTCTAATTCAGGAACATTTTTAGGTTTTACTTGCAAAGATTGTGGCAACTCATATAGAGTTTTGGGAAGTTTAAAAAGACACCAAAGGTTTAACTGTGGGAAAGAACCTCAGTTCCAATGCCCGCAGTGCTCGTATAAGGCATCCAGAAAGGACCAGTTACTGGCCCACATTTCTGCCAAGCATATAACATTTAGCTTTTTATAACCAAATATATCATTAAATAAAGAAATGTAACTCATTTTTATAATGATAATAAATTAATTTATGTATTTTTGTTAGCATTATTTATTGTTTTAGTTTTAAATATTTCATGAGCATGTCCTATAGTGTTACAAAGCATCATATTAAAACTTCTCTTGAAATTTAATAAGCTAGTGGCAGATTTAGGCATAGAAGGAGCGTGGCACCTGTCTGGTGTGGCAGTTTTTGAGGAATGACCAAATTTAAATGGAATTATATTTTAAGATTCAAACTAAACATAATTGGTCAATATAAGGAACAGCATAATTCACTCTCTCTCAGTTTTTAATTGTAAAACAGAAATTGTTTTGGAAGTTAAGGGAAAGTATTACGATTGTAAAAAACTTTAGAATTTGAGTTTTAAACAGAAATACACACTTTAAGGTCCCCTGTGTCTAACTAATCAGAAATGATGCGCTCACCAACTTTTTTATGTTTTACTACTAAAAGGCTACAGATAAATAGAACTTTTCATTTATATTTCAAATTTGTCAAACAATTTAAATTTTGTTAATGTCGCTATTGTTTTTCTGTATACAACAGATTTGTTTTTAAAGACGTAAAAGAAGACGATTTTATTTACAGGTTTTATTTTTTCATTTTATTTAGGATGGATATCGTGGATAAAACCTGGCGATATATATATTGCAGCTTTGAGATTTTTCAAAGTAGATCTTTCAGTTGGAGAAAGTGGCATTTGGAATATACAGCAGATTCAAGATATCAAAGACACTCGATACCAGAAACAATTCCTGCAAAAGAGTGTTTGAAATATTTGTATCACAATATTTCAAATTTGGCATAATTATTTGAGCTCATTTTTCCCTGCAATCAGTAATTATCTCGGCAAATTCTGGGATACTCGGGACAGTACAGCGCACTACTTAATTATTCAGACATCTAATTTATCATTACGATTTCGTAGGCAACGTAAACTTTCGGTTTTCCCAAGGATTACATCTATTTCACGCTTTTTCACATTTTCTTTCCATTTCGGATACCATGATTTGTTTAGATGATTTCTGAAAAGACTATTCTTATCAAACAGAAATTTGGACAACCTGATATTTCACGAGTAGCTAAAACTCTTAAGTCAAATAAACATGTAGTAGCAAAAATAAATGACAGTTGTACCAATATTACTCGTAAATTGTTTTCCTCTTTTTTGTAACTTATTTATTACTTTAGATTTACTTATTGAAAGAGTCAGAGAGAAAATTTGTGAGGATTTTTTTTTAATACTATAAAAATTCTAAATTTCTTCTTGTTAAACTTTCCCCTTTCAAATTCTTCAATCAGTGATTAGTCAGTTTGCTTACTCTTGAGTGACTAGTGACATGTGGCATCAATAGGAAGCATGCCTCTGTAAATATGTATTATGTACAATCAGTGCCAGAAAAAAAAAAGAGGCACGGAATGAATACTGTATAGGTTGGCTTAATACTGACTTTTATTTGCCGTTCATAGGGCTTTACATAGTATTCTAAAACGTTGTAAATGCAATATATTTCTATGGCAATACAGTTTGTCTGGATACTGGTGAGCCTATCTTATTTTTTTGCAATTTTTTCTTTGCAAAATATGTTTTTCCTTCTTCCTGTAAAATTTCACTTTTTGCACTTACATCGTCTGCTTACTTAACAGTACAAACCGCCTTGACAAATGGTCATGTTACCAAAAAATGTTGAAGTTATTGTTTTTATTTTTTTTAAATATTTCTATTTGTATATAGAAATCATTCAACGTTATTGGAAAATAATATTTGTTAATAAATAAATAAGACCATGCAAACAATATTATACTGACGTGGTCTAAAAATATATATAAAAAAAAAAAACTTGGACCATGGCTTAACTCCACTTAACATGTATATGAAATAGGATCGTTCAAGGGTTGTGGTCACATGGTCGAAACCAAACATTAATTTTTAAGTGTTCCTTCTCTTCAGAAAACAAGCTGAGGTATTGGTTGATAGTGCAGCTTTCAGGTACCCTTACTGCTTCAGCTTACGTCATTTATGGTGTACTAATTATAGCAAGAATGTCAAAACATTGGCACAAAGTATGTTAAATTTGTGAAACTATCTACGTAAAAAATTCAGGCATAACATGTGTGCCAACTCTCCCACACACCTCTCCGACCAAGGTGTATGACTTACTCCTATAGTTTTGAATTGAGTTAAAAATCAAAATTTTTAAATGAAAATATACATACCTAAAAGCCGAAGGTCGGTAAAGAAATTCCAAAATAATTGTTGAACAATCCTCATTGATAAAAAACAACTTTTCATTCGAAAAACATATTCTAAAACCACCGTTTTCTTCGAAATCTCCTAAAAAAAATAACTAAAAATCCGCTAAAATGTAAAAAAAGAAATAATAATTTCTTAGTAATAATATCTCCGCGATATGATAATTTTTAGCTACACAATATTCGACATGATTTATTCTATTACAACTGTATTAATGATTTTAAAACAATACCTGTTGTTTTATTTATAAATGTCTTTATGAGAAGGAATTAGTCGAGGGTGCGGTCAAAAAAAAATAAAAAAAATTAAAATATATAAATAATTTTAATGGCAAAAATTAAAATTATTTATATATTTTAATTTTTTTTATTTTTTTTTGACCGCACCCTCGACTAATTCCTTCTCATATCATATCAACGGTCAACCATCTCTACATCATTATAAATGTCTTTAGATTAAAAGAACCATTTAAGTTCACGTATATTCTTGCTTGACTAGCGTTCAAGTTCGGTTAGGAAACTTCCGAATTAATTACTTGATTTTAAAGCATGTTCCAGAGAGTGAATTAAAGTAACATTTTTTAGTGTAATACACGTTTTATGGTCTATTTTGTCGAAATAGCTCCCAAAAAATGATTTGTGGTTATAAACAAAATTATAAATATAAACTAAGAAAGAATATGGTTATTAACTATAGGAGAATCCGTGGGTAGTAATATAAGTCCGGAGAATAACGATGGCAGTAAGAGGCGTGACATTACGGTCACGGTTATGGCTGTATCTGATTCCTATCGAGCCTCCAGGACTTTTAATGAGTAAATCCTCCATGTTATAGCAAAATCAATTAGGTTATCACTTTATCTCATGTAAGTAGTCGCTTTTCAAAGAAAAACATATAATTTGTTAAAAACTGACTTCAACTTAAAGTCATTTAAAATTTAAAATATTTTGCATAAGTAATGGGGGTTAACTTTGTCACGAAGTTCTAGTAGCTAAAACAGAAATTTCTAAAAATTTCGCGATTTTCTATAACCGCTGTCGTGAAAATTTACACGGTTTACTACACAAACATTTTAATAGATGAGAAATTATATTGTGAAAACGTTCGTTTAATTGCCTAAGCTTCCTTATTACCTAGCAATTATCCCAAGTTTTATGTTTGTTTTCGAATCTAATTTCTCAAAATTGAAGAGGTTAGAGCAGGGAAACAAGTGAACTCAATTCACTCACAAATTTACAATCCTCCAAATCATTTAAGAAGTACTGCAAAGCAGTGTTACCGCGCGCTCTGTGATAAAACCTCGTACTCAAGCCTCGTACATCCTCGTACGCTTGCTCATTCATAACTTCCACTGTTATAATGCCAGTGTTATTGTTTTTTTTATAGTAAAATTAGATCAGATTTTTTTATTTTTACCTCCATTCATATATTTTAAAGCCTTTTTACATTACTTTTTTTTAAGTTAATTAGTCAAGCAGTAAAATTAGCTTAATAAAATATATAAAAAAGTTTATATATTTTTATAAACTACTGAAAACGTTGTATAAAAATTGAAATAGCTAAATAAACTTCTTAAAGTACTCTTCATAAGTATTCATTAGTAGATCCAAGATTTTAATTTTGTGGAGACTAATTTTTTTTCTTTTTTCTAAAAACAAAACAACTACTTTTATGAAAGGATGTTAGTGGTTCTGGAAGGACAATAAAAATTAATTTTGGGGCATTGATGCTTTTAAAGATATCCATTATGATATAAAAAATAATAGATTGTGATTGTTTCAGTATTTATCTTAAAATTATATTTCGCACAAAATAAATGTGGATCACTGTTCATTTATTAATTATTTAATTTATTAATTCATTATTCATGATGGGTTCACTATGAATACTAATTAATTTTTCAATTAATTACTTTACTCGAATAAAAATCGAAAATAATTTTTTTAAATTACACTAATAATTTTTAAAAAAATTTAATTTATCTAGAATATATTTACAATTGCAGTTTTATGAAGGAAATAAATGGATATACTTTCTCGTATTTTATTTTATGCTCGATAAAAATGATGGTAAAAATTTCTGTTTAATTTTCTATTACAACAAATTTTAAAAAATTTATATTTATAAAAAAAGTTTTATGAAGGAAATAATGGATATGGTTTCTTATATTTTATTTTATACTGAATAAAATCTAAAAATTTTTTTTAAATTTTATTTTCTAGAAAATTAAAAAAAAAAAACATATATATACAATCATGGTTTTATGAAGGAAATACTAATCATACTCTAATTAAAGAAGATATAATTACAATTTATATGTCTAGAAAGCAACAGAAGTTCAGTATTTCATATCAATATAAAAAAAATACAATCAAAATAATCGTAAAACAATTCTAAACTTCATTCATAAAAATATAACCTTGCATTGCATACGTCAGCAAAACTTATGTACGAGGTACGAGGCTGGTCTATCCTCGTACCTCGTACATTACGTTATAACCTCGTACAGATACGAGGATCCTCGAACAAACGGCAACACTGCTGCAAAGGTCAATACAATAAAAAACAAATGATGGTGTGGGTAAAAAAATTAGAACCTTCTCTCACAAAAGGCAGGTCTCTTTAGCTTAGTTTTAGACATTTCACAAACTGTGGGAAACACAATCAACTAACAGCGACATTATTGCTAATCCCAACTATTTATTTTATTTCTCTTAATACCCAGAGCAGATGGAAAATATCAAAAACAAGAAACAAAAATACTACCATGATAATATAAACATTTATATTTTTCTTTGTTCCATAGTTTGTGAAAAAAAGCACCTTTAGACTATCTCAATTCACATAAAAAATAACTATCCTTTAACTTAATTAAATTGAATGTTGAGCTGCGGAAATTTTTTAGTTTTGTTAAATGGAAAATAAATGTTTCCATGGAAACTTATAAAATTTATTTTCTGCTTGCTAAAACCTAAATTATTTATATAGTATAAAGAATTGTTATGCTTCATATAAATTTTCTTTTATTTATATTTATAGTTAATAAATTTAACTGATATTTAATTAAAATTAATCACTACTGCAGGGAAAGAAGATAATAATTGTTTGATGGACCGCGCCAGTTTTTTAAAATTAAAACCAGCAAATGATATACTTCCGATAAGGAAAAACTACAGATTAATAGTAACGTGAAAAATTAAATAATTGAATAATATTTAACAAAAACCTTTTGTACTTACTCGGTTTTGTAGTGATAGCCTGTTAGGTTACATGTGCCAACATGTGTTTATGTTAAATAAATAGTTTTATAATGGCGGGTCTTTGATTGTTTTAAGTTTCCTTATAGCAAGTACACTACAATTGGTGACGAAGATACAGAACATTTAAATTGTCATGGTGTGCCTAAAACATTGCCTGTTACTGTTAAGTAGTATCAATTTCGGGTAGTGTTCGGTGTTCGGGAGTGTTGTTGAAATGTTTACATCAAATAAAAACAGTGTTCACCGCTTCTACTCTTGGAACCCGATGTCTAAAAACTGTTCTTCATCTTAATAGAAGAGTCAGCAACAGAAAAATCCACTGGCAGTAGTTGGTGTGCATGTTTTTAAGAGCACAGGAGTGAAGTTGATGTTTGGAATGTACAGTTTTTGCCGTAGAATAATTAAGCATATGGACGGGTAAATTAACTAAAAAAAATATTATTTCAATAGTAATTAAAAAACATTAAAACTTGAATAAGGGTCTCTTTTGGAAAGAATTAAATTTCAAATTGTTAAAAAAAAAAATTGCTTTAGAGAGAAAAATAGTGCATGATTCAGGATGAAGGGAGGCACGGGCGGATCTACGGGGGGGGGGGGGCTTTCGGGCTGAAGCCCCTCCCCAAAATGGAAAAATATAACCATGTTTTATGGGAAAACAAATTTAAAAAATACCTCTTAAAGTATTATTGTTCGTGTAATTACATTTAAAAGTACTTAAGGAATAACTTAAACACCATTTCATATAGGTAGTTAGTTTCTTTCTGTTTTTCCGAAGTAATTATCGTTATTTTTATGAAAAAAAAAGGTTTCGGTCTGAAGCCCCCCCCCCCCCAAAAATTAAATCATGGATCCGCTAGTGAGGGGAGGGGATTATAAAAATTGTACTGTATCATTATTTCTGGGCTTTCCTTTTAGCCCAAACTTATCCTCATCTACAAATTCATCTTATTTTATCCCAAGTCTTAATTCTTCTTCGTTAATGTTTTCATGGAATCCTTTGATGTTCTTGAATCGCATCTGGGTGGTCTATTACCGTCTTAAGTGTAGTTACTTCTCTGACACTGAGGGTTTTCTATCTCGCTACCAGAACAAATATATAAACATAGTAATGCAAAAGAAATATTTGATTGTAAACTATAAAAATAAGCAAGTTAGTTGGGTGCTATAGTCAGTGGGAAACACAAATAACAATAAACTCATAAAGAAATTAAAATTAACTAGTTAATAGAGGCGTCCTCCTTTAAGCATAATTTCTCCGGGTCGACGAAAAATAGTTTTTGTGTTTTTCAACGAAAAAAACTCCCTCCGACTAACTTAATTAATAATTACATATAATAAAATACGAATCCTTCCTAGAACCCTTCAAAATAAAAACTTCAATGAAATCATCTGGAAATATTTACTACGTAGATAGGTGTGAACAAGACGAAATCATGTATAACCAGAAACTGTACCTCCTCCAAAAGAATTACGAGGTTGCAACCTTCCTGATTTTCATTGAAATGTTAAATATTTCCAAAAAAAAAAATAGTTAATTGCCAAATATTTTTAAAAAATCGATTATCAAAAATTCCTATAAATTATTGAAGGAAGTCAGTCGATTGTTCTACATATCATGGGTGATAAATAATCAGGATGCAGTCATTGTGAATATTTTTTGTTTAGACCAACGTTTCAACCCAAGAATGTTGGTAATCAGGGCATGTTTCGAGCACTGAAGTTATTCAAGTACTGCGAAGAATAAGTACTGCAGTTCTTGAATAACTTCAGTGTTCGAAACATGCCTTGACGACCCACATGCTTGGGTTGAAACGTTGGCACAAATAAAAAATATTCACGATGATTGTTTCCTGACTATTTATCACCCAAAAACTTTCTGTGGATATAAGCAAAGGCTTTTAACCCGTTTTTGAAATAGCAGGTTAAAGACTCGAATGAAAAACATTTTCTAAAATTGTTCCACTAGCTCTTTAATTATCCATTTGTCCGGAATTTCACTTTTGAACGCAGCAAAATTTGTCTATCCTCCCTTGTATGAAGAAACGCAGATACATCTGAGAATACGTATTTCTTGAGGACGAAGGGCAAAACTCCGAAAAATTCAGTAATTGTAATGCCCTTTTCATCCACAGAAAGGATTTAAATTTGATCATGTATCAAACAATTTGTTCAGTCTTCATTCATTCTCTAGTATTCTTCTATAGTTTAGAACTTGCCTTTAATATTTTATATAAGCAAAAGTATCAGTGATAGTTTCAGGCATCAGAAGAATTACTGTTCCATATATTTTATTTAGTATACATATATTGATCCATTTAAAATTAATTAAATTTAAATTAATGAGTACAATGCTATGATAAAGCCGGTTCTAATAATAGCTGTGAGACCTGGACTCTAACCAGCGACCTAGAAAAAAATATTGAAAGATTTGAAAGAAAAATTCTCCGCACGATAACCGGAGCGATCTAGGATCAGAGTACTAACACATGGAGGAGAAAGATCAATAAACAGTGCTTACAGAGGCTGAACAATCAATATCTCATTATATGAAGGCATGGAGGCTAAGACGGGTAGGTCATGTAGCTCCGAGCAATCCATCTGGAAGTTTCTACACAACAAATAAATGCCTAAATAGAAGGAAACTAGGCTACTTGTTAGCACGGACGGATCTACGGGGGGGGGGGGCTTTCGGGCTGAAGCCCCCACCCCAAAATGGTTTTATCGAAAAAAATATTTAAAAAGTATCTCTAAAAAGTAAAAAGTGTTATTGTTCGTGTGATTAATATTAAAAGGGCTTTAGGAATCACTTAAACACCATTTCATACAGGTAGTTAGTTTCTTTCTTTTTTTCCAAAGTAATTATCGTTACTTTTGTGAAAAAAAAAGCTTTCGGGCTGAAGTCCCCCCCAAAATTAAATCCTGGATCCGCTAGTGCTTGTTAGTCTATTTATCCTATGCCAAAAAGAATTGGATAAATGGAATTCACACAGATGGAATATAGCTGCATGCAGATAACTGAAAAGAAATAGCTCAAGAATCGCAGAGATGAAGCAGGCTTGTTAAGGCGGCGAAAGATTAAAATGTCTGCAGAATAATGCCAACAGAAAAAAAAAAAAAAATATATATATATATTAGTATTGTTGGTTAGGATTTCTTATTTATAAAAAAAAAAAAATATATAGTTCTTTTCTACTTTAAATAAACCAGTGAACTTATGTTCACTATAGTAATTTCACAGTTATGAATAATTTTTCAAACACATGACAAGAAAGCAAACCTAACCTAGAAAAAAATGGAATGTAACGTTACAAAAATGAATTAATTAAATATGGTATTACATAAATATAATATTTATTCATTTTCCTGAAGGCATGATATTTTCAATACGACACAAAAAATAATCATCATTTTGACACATTTTCCTCCAAATTAATTAGCACAAACAAGAATCGACCAGACTCCTAATTTCACATTCTTTTTTATTATGATATTTCATTCTGGTTCAAATGGTATATTCATTCTTCGGGTATTTGCGCCCAAAACTGGATCAACACAATGTTCTGATGCTTTCGGGCTGAAGCCCCCCTTCCCCTCCCCCCCCCAAAATGGTAAAATATAACCATGTTTTATAGGAAAAAATATTAAAAACTGTCTCCTAAACTATTATTGTTCGTGTAATTACATTTAGTAGTACTTAAACACCATGTCATATGGGTAGTTAGTTTCTTTCTTCTTTTTTTTTCAAATTAATTATGGTTTTATTTATATATATATATATATATATATATATATATATATATATATATATATATATATATATATATATATTTCATATACATATATAACATTACCCATTTATTTTACTGAATATTAAAATTTAAATGTTGGATACTCACAAAAATCAAGAAATTTTTAAGGAACACGACTTACAAAAATGAATTAAAAGACCTACAGGAACCCTGAATTAGCTTTATTCCCAGACTTTTTGGTTTCAGTACAACAATTTAACTGAATATAATGAGGAAGGAAATACATAGAATTCCTTAAATTGCGAATTTATAATTGGAGAAACACGTTTTGAAAAATCAAGTTAGGGCTTTCTCTTTATTATTAATTAATTACTAACCTTTTGATGCTGTAGATCGTTTACATTGTACACTAACAATTCACTTCCCTGCCTCATAAACAACCATCTGGACATTGCAATTCCCAGCTCTAGTTTTATTTTCAGAAGACATTTGGTCTATAAGAACATATGACTTGCTCCGATATAATTTTAAAAACTCTACAGCTGCATCAACATATGATTGTCTCATAGGCCTAAGACAATTTTAAATTATTATAAATTAAAAAAACTATCTAATTTTGTTCTCTAGCTATATAATCGCAAAACGTCTTGGGTATGAAATATATATTTGATATATGGCTGATTACCATTACATAGCGGGTGATGCAACTAATCTATATAGCTACCTATCTCATACCTCATTTCAGTCACAAATTGAGTTAACTGAAGTTAAAATTTACATGACAATATAGTACAGTAGATACTAAGATGAATTGAAAAGATTATAGAAAATATTGGTCGATTTTATATTATTTTAGTTACTATTAAACCGTATTTATAGTATGTAACACAAACATTTTAATTATCCTAAAAGAAATATATTCTGCACCTCTTAAAAATGAGAAGAAACAATATTAATATCAGGATTAGAGAAAAGTTATTAATGTATGACAAACTAGGAATTTGATGCTCAATGAACCAATTTACCAATGATATTAAAAATAACATGACATTTGGTTCATGCTACAAAACGATCTATTGGAATCATTCTATTTCTATTCAAAATCCAATTATATTATCAATAGATACTTATAAGCAATAAGTATGAACAACTTATCACTCAGTTTGACAATAAGTGAATATATAGGTTATTGTCTGGAGGGGGCACTCGCCTCCAGTGTTGCCGCGAGCTCTGTGACAAACCCTCGTGATCGAGCCTCATACCCTTGCTCATTCATAACTCGTACTATTGTAAGCCCAGTGTCACTTGCGGATCCAGGATTTAATTTTGGGGGGCTTCAGCCCGAAACCTTTTTTTTTTTCATAAAAATAACGATAATTACTTTGGAAAAACAGAAAGAAACTAACTACCTATATGAAATGGTGTTTAAGTTATTCCTTAAGTACTTCTAAATGTAATTACACGCACAATAATACTTTAAGAGGTATTTCTTAAAATTTTTTCCCCATAAAACATGGTTATATTTTTCCATTTTGGGGGGGCTTCAGCCCGAAAGTCCCCCCTCCCTCCGTAGATCCGCCCGTGCCCAGTGTTAATGTTTTTTATAGTAAAATTAGATAAGAGATTTTTAATTTAACATCTATTCTAAAGCCTTTTTACATTACTTTTTTTTTTAAGTTAATGGGTCAAGAAGTAAAATTAGCTTAATAAAATACAAAAAAAACTTTATGTATTTTTAGAAACTACTGGAAACTTTATATAAAAATTAAAATTAACTTCTTAAAGTACTCTTCATTAGTAGATCCAAGATTTAATTTGGAATGAGGAGACTCATTTTTCAAAGACAAAACAACTTATGTAAGGATGGGATGTTAGTGGTCCTTGAAGGCCAAAAAAGTAATTATTGGGACGTTAATGTTTTTAGAGATATCCATTATAATATAAAAAAATGAATGGATTGTGATTGTTTCAGAATTTAGCTTTCCATTTGATCTCGCACAAAACAAATATAGAACACTAAAAAAATATGTTTTTTTCCATCATTTAAGATGGGTTCATTATTAATACAATACTAGTTAATTTTTCAATTAATTACGGTAACAATTTAAAAAAAAAAATTATCTAGAATACATTTACAATTGCAGTTTTATGACGAAAACAATATACTTTCTCGCATTTTATTTTATACTCGATAAAAATTTCTTTTTAATTTTCTTTCACAAAATATTAAAAAAATTATATATTTACAAAAATAGTTTTATGAAGGAAATAATGGATATATTTTATTTTATACTCGATAAAAATCTAAAATATTTTTGTTTTCTAGGAAATTAAAAAAAAAACATTATATATATATATATATATATATATATATATATATATATATATATATATATATATATACAATCATGGTTTTATGAAGGAAATAATAATCATACTCATTTTGAACTTCACTCTGATTTTATATTTATTCGGAAATTCGCTGTATTTTTTATCTAACGAAAAAGATAATTCAATCTTGATTTTCCAGATGACGAGTGTTGTCCCTATGATTACCTTTCTGGCACAAATGAAGTATTCTTTAAAGTAGTATTCTGAAATTCGATGACATTCTTTAAAGTTTCAACCAGCATCGGTTTAATTAGGACCTCGTATGTGATCTACCTGACAAAAAAAAGCTTCAGAATTACTAGCTTCCAGGTTAAACGACTATAGGTAGGATTTGTACCATCGCACTCTCTAAAAAAATCTTCCTCTCCGAAATCAGGACGCGATTAGGAATGGGACATCGAAAGCCTAATACCGTTATCAATATCTGCTTATAACTATTACCATCAAAATATCGATAGTACAAATATTGATCCCCTACTTCATAGGTGAACCAAACAAGTTATTTTCCACTTTAAATTAATCAATGAAAATATCAATTCTTCTACCCTCCTTAGCAAAATTAATTTTCCTATTTTATATTTAAATAATTAAGTTCCTGCCTATTTTCGTCATCCTCAGCTTTTTTCAAAAATGTCTTTTCACCCACAGATGAAATCAGCTAAATTTATTTGCACCCTACATAGATTCCTTTGACCATTCGTGGCCTTGGTTCCAGAGATAAGATTCTAACAAATTTAGGCTAATTGAGTTCAATGAGGCAGAACAGTTCCACCCGCGCTATCTAACTCCTTAGGGATGGCCATCGATAGTCGTTATTATCGAAAAATCTATATCGATATCACACTCTATATGAAACAGGCAAGATGAATATATTTCTTAGACTCATATATAGTAGTAATTATAGTATCGGTAGTAACCAATTTCCGAAAATTATTTATTTTACTATCGATGGCCACCAGGAAATTTACTAATCTTTCCAATATTTTCTGAATGATGGGTACCCATCACAGGCGGATCTACGGGGGGGAGGAGAGGGGACTTTCGGGCTGAATTTTATTACATATGAACAGCCTTTTTTATTTCTTAGTTAAGATTATTATAAAAATAACGGTACAAAAATACAACATACTAGTTGGCCCGTTCGAAAGATTCGCAGAAAATTTTGTCAAGTGAAGAAGTAGCCAAACAATATGGAAAGAAGTAGTTAATATGTATTATGTGAAGAAGGAATAGGAATTAATATCTTTTCCTTAGTCGATTACAATATTCCATTAAAGATGATAGACCAAAATATTTGTACAAATTTCTTTGCTAGGACCTATTTCCAAACGCTGACTGGAAAGATAATAAAAGTAATAAAGACAAAATAATGCACCGATCATAGGATATCCTAAATTATTAAAAAAAATAAAATGTAAGAACAACTAAATGTCTTCAAGAAATAATAAAGTTAATATAAATTCCAGGAAAAAAATGTAGTATATTCTACTCCTAAATGCAATATCTTTAAACAGGAAGACAATATCAAGTATACCAAAACTAATGGACTGTATCTTTATTAAAAATTGCAAGTTTTTTTTTGTTTTGTAGGTAATTTTGTCACCTTTCTAATTATTATGGGCACAACCAAGAAAACAATGCATACCTTTTGAGTTATTTGCAAATAAAGTTTCTTTTCCTCCATAACTTTTTCTACAGAAATTTCGGGGGGATGGGACTATTTTTCGCGTGTGGGAAGAATATCTTCAAAATGAGTGGTCAATCACTGGATTTGATGAAGAATTGACGAAGTTATAGCTTACTGCCAAAAAAAAAATTCCTTTTAGAAATATATAGGATTCTCTCATTCTTACTTTCCCTTATCTTATATGAAATATATAGTAAGGGACTGTATTATCGTGAAAATCTTCGAATATGAGTTTTCAACGGAAATACCCTCCTCCCAAAATATTTTATTGCTCCACTTTTCTTAAAAACTGAGCAAGCTAAAAGAGAGAAAAATCGTAGATCATATACAATTACACTCGCTGCGGTATGTTCCATGTTTTCTCCCTTGTCCCTTTGTCATAAAATCCATAACTCCATCGAAATTTGCCCCACTCAAAATTCTGGTGCGCACAACACACAACTTTCACATACCTCTCAACCATGAATACAAATTATTTTCATACAATAATGGAGCTAAAGCTTAAAGCCTACAGATAACAAGTCATTAATACCATTATAATTACAAAAATCTAGTTATTACGTCGTCGCTAGGGAATAAAAATCTAGTCACTCCATCTGCTTTAATAAGCCATATAACTTCAGTCTCTGAGCCTTTCAGTTGACAGAATGAATAACTCAAATTTCAACATTTTTGAACAATGTCATTTTAATGGTATCTCTAGTCGAAAAAATTATATCTATGACATTGAGCAAGTTGATTCCATAGTAGGTGATTGCAGTGTTGAAGTATACAACTGTGAATAACGGTATAAATTTTGCCACTAGAAACATCACTTAAATTAATAATAAAAAATGTTGAAATTGGAATTAGTCATTCTGTCAACCGAAAGGCTCATACATGGCAAGACAGATTTGTAAGCACATTTAATATTTAACCTGTCAACGATTATGGATTGTAGGGCTATTAGTTATTAAGCTGTTATTTTTTATAGTGAAGTTTACTAAAACGAAATTTTCATTTTATGCCATGGATAGGTCAAAGGTTGTTACACTAATTGTAAATAGATAATATTGGGAAAATTGATCAAAATTATCACTAATTTTATTTTCTAAAAGGTTACTTGATTTTTTGGTGTGAATGGCCGATAGATACCTAATTATTTAAATATAATATCTTACCTAGATTTAATACTGTATAGTAAATATATTTGAGGTTATAAACATATCCATGAAATATTTTTATATTTTGCTTCTTTCACACAAGTACAATGAAATAGTATTCCAAAACAATGGCATTGGCTTGATTTTAAATACTTTTCCACAATCTTAAAGAAACCTTTAAAAGTTTACATGTAGCAAGAAAATTTCATTGGAAACATGTGATTTACGTTAAACGATATTAGTTTTCTGACACTTATAATTTTTTTGCCACTTTCTGTTATGTTCTACAACTTTCTATATTAGATTTTTTTTCTTCTAAAATTATCCACTTTCTAGCGCTATGT